GCACATATAGGCGATCGGCGGGCTATGGACCCGCTGATCGCCTATATGTGAAACACCCGGTACCGGGTGTTCGCATTGGGCGGGTCTTTTCTGCCCGTGCGTGCCCGCTAGGGGGCGCGCGCGAGCAGAAAAAAATTGCAGTCTGGAGACGGCAACCCGCAGATGCTGCAGTGCCGTCCGTCCGTTTTTTTACTACGGGCGACGGCAAGAGGTTAAGGGAGTTGCAAAGTCCCAGCATATACTCTCCTGCTATAACATCAGCATTGTAATAGGAATACATACTATAGCTGTCTTTGATAATGCAATCAAAGCTTACTTTTGAGTAGTAGAGTTCTGCGTTCTGTCTGCACTTTTAACAAGTTACTGGATTCCCAGTGTACTTTGCACCTCTTTCCCTGCGTCTCTGTGTGATGCAAATCTCCATTTCACAAGACTACATAGCCTATTATTCATTGCTTCCAGCAAGCAATGATACTGTTAAATTGTTCAGATGCTGAGTTGTGGAGAGTGCTAGTGGGGACACACACAGCTTACTAGCACACACAAGCGTGGATCCATTGAGCCCTGCAAGGAAAAAAAAGCCACCCTAAAACAAGATATCAGAAGATCAGCTGATTCTGCAGGAAACTAAAACTTTTAAACATCAAGGAGCATTTAAGAAAATCCTAAAAAACCTTTTGACTTTAATATCACTTCAATGACTTGCGTCATTGTCAGTGCCAATGTCAGTGTTCTATAACTCTTCATTTGACCCCATAAATCTGAAATTTGGTTGGTCGGGAGGCATTATAGCACTTCACACCTATTCCCTGCACTTCCTCCTTGAATGAGGCTAAAAGTTAATCACAGCGGCTCTACAAAGGAACATTAAACTTGCTGACACACTGCCTAGGGAAGATTATTAAATAAAAGCTGTTCTCCCAATGTTCCAGGTGTTGTCAAGGTTGATTACGGTGACGTTTCAGAGAGGAAGGCTCTTCGAGAAAAACTGAAGTGTCATCCATTTTCCTGGTACCTTGAATCAATCTATCCGGACTCCCAGATTCCGAGGCGATATTTTTCACTTGGTGAGGTATGATTTCTTACACTTTTTCATTAAGTACTTCATTTTTTCCGTTTGGTAATCAAAAAAATAAATTGCGCTGTTACAATGCCATGGCATGAAATAGATTTTATATTAATGGTAATGTGGTTACAAATACTATGCTGGAAAATACAATTTCATATGAAACATTGAGTGCTTTTCTTAACTAAGGGTTGCGTTAACACGTACACGTTAAGGTAATGTGTATTTCTACTTTTGCAGTCAAATTGGGATAACACCGACTTTATATTTGGTACATGTTCCTATTCACATTGCATAACTTAAAGAAAAAGTATTTTAAAACTGCTGCTTCCATTTTTAAAACCCAACTCTAGGATAAAATAAACAATCATTATTTTCCACCTCCCCTTACTGGTTTTTGGGATAAATGTTCACAGTAGGGATTTTGCATGTTGCAAATGTAATTAAAATGCACACAAGCACATGACAAATCCATTTTTCTGAATTTACCACCTATTTTAATGGAACGCTTAAAGGAGAATTATGGGGTGGGTGAACAACACTCATCACCATAATCCAAGCCGACCTGTGACACTGAAGCTGTCACAGTTCGGCTCTATTACATAGTTACATAGTAAGGTTGAAAAAAGACACAAGTCCGTCGAGTTCAACGTATAGAGATAAGAGGAGAAAAAAAAAAAGAAGAAAAACCTAAAACAGAACGCTATGCCCACAGTTGATCCAGAGGAAGGCAAAACAAACGTATAAAGCAGGGTTCAATTTGCTCCAACAGGGGAAAAGTTTCCTTCCTGATCCCATAAGGCAATTGGATATTCGCTGGATCAACAATCTCTGGTGCTTTATATACCTCAATATCCAATAATAGTCTGTGCATTTAGGAATACATCCAGATTTGCTTTAAAACAGGTAACTGAGCTAGCTCGATTTTTGACTATTGATCGGGAAGTCAGCAAACACATACCGCCGATCGCTGAGTTCCCGATCCTCTCCTTGCAGAGAGTGGTGACTGCCAGTCAACGCTCCCCACAGGGATTCCCCCCCCCCCTCCCCGTCTCTCTAGTGCTCACTGGAGGGATAGTTGGAGAAGGGCGTGGGCACAGCTGGCTCTGCCTCTAGATAGGCAGAGCCCGCTGTCAATCAGCCTGCAGGGTTGATCTCGAGAGTATTGCCGAGATCCATCCCAGCAGCAGCGCGGCTCTGCGCTCATAGCACATATGCCCACTGTATGCTAAATTTTGGGTCACCGGAGGACATTCGTATATGTCCGCCTGTAACCTTAAAGAGAACTATGGCAAAAAAAGTTTAGGCCATAGTTCTCTTTTAATGTCCCTTGAGACCTAAAAATGCTGCATGTCATAATATTTTTTTAAGCTGCAGAACATGCAGTAAAACTAGCCACATAGGGATGAATAAAATGTTAACTTGAATGTGAATGACATTTGTGAACAGGCCCACAGTCAGAAGCAGGGCGGTCCCTATAATGAGGCAGGCTGAGGCTGTTGCTTCGGGTATCTCTTTGGGTCACGTGGGGGCAGCAGGCAGAACCCTTTCCAGTCAGAGCATCCCAAGTTGCTAAGAGCTGGGCACGGAGATGTGTTAGGGCCATACACATCTCCCCTCCCAGCTCTTCGCAGCCTTAGATGCTCCGGCTGGTGTTCCACCCAGCTCTTGGCAGCCAGTGACATCACAGGTTGCCAGGAGCTGAGCGGGTGGCTCTGACTGGCTTACCGCCCAGCTCCTGGCGACCAGTGACATCAGTGATGGGCGGAATGCTGGCCAGAGCTGGGTGGTGCACCATTAAGACCCCACCCCCAGGGACCTCCAGCGGCCTAAGGCGGCAATTAAGCTAGGGACGTCCCTTGTACCCTTTATGGTTCTGATCATGCTAGGCCTGCTTATTGCTTAATCTGGTCTTTGTACTATATTAAATGAGGGCTTTTTATAGTCAAAGCTGTATGTAGTCAAGCATTCAGGAAAAAAAAGATGATTTACCCTATGCAGTTGCAAACCCTTCTATGTGAGGCTATTTGAAGCTTTCCAATAGTACATAATGAATAGACCTGCCAAGTAATTTATGCTTGCTCAGACATCACACCATGTTTCACAAACAAGGCCCCTAGTGTTTAATTACGTTGTATTGTGTTCCTAGTTTAGTATAGTGACTCTGCAGTAAAGATTTTCTAAGTAAAAATGCATGTTTTGTACTCTACCAGGAATATAGCAGGGAAATATTAACACTAGGTAAGCAAATCTAAGAAAGCAAGCTGTGCATGGAGAAAAACCACTTAAAACTACCCTGTCAAATAACAACAAGTAAACCTGCATAAGTAGTGACCTTTCCCACTGCCCGCAACAACAAAATGCTGTTCCATTCACGTGAAATCCTCTGCTGAAATTGGTTTGGAAACTGGCACTCCTAGGACTGTCGTCTCTCCTTGGCCCACCTGCAGTGATCAGTGGTTGCAGTGCCGATCTCTCTATGTCATTGCAGGACACTGGAAGTGTCAGCTTCCCAGTCATTTTAAGCAGAGGCTTTCTCTTGAAAGAGGATGTTGCGTTGAGTAAATAGATACCAGAAAATGTATCTTTTGTGCACCTGTGAAATGGTGAAAATTGCAGTACCCAAAATTGTTAATGGGCTACACTGTAAAAGCCTTTACAACTCATCAGTTTAGAGTTACCAGTAGCAAGAATAGCCCTAAAAATATTGCTCTCGTTCTAGCGTGTGGGACAATATATTGTACATGTTGAACAATTATTGTTTTTGTACTAGTGTGTACCTGAAGCTCATTTGCACTTGACTGAGTGGGCTTTTAACATTTTGGTTTTTTTTTAATTTATTTTTTATTAAACCCTAACTTTTTAACCTTTAAAAAAAAAATGTATTGTTTTCACAAAGGGGCTGATAATAGCAAAGTACAGGTGACAGGTTCTCTTTAAGGACAGGTTCAGGCGACATCAGGGGTCTAATGTAACTTCTGCATTCTGTTGAAGCTGATTGAGTACAGACTGATCAGCTTCTTCCCTGTCACTGTTGTTTTTTGTGTTTTTTTAAGGTGTTGTATTAAAGGTTAGATTCGTGGTTTTCATTTACATTTTTTTGGGAGTGATAATCACATTTTTAGTTATGACCAGTTTAATTTTCTGGTCTTATCACATCATTTGTCATGTGTACAATTTCTTCACACTGATCACATATGCTCTTGTTATACCAAGCCCATCTATTTGGGACTAAAAAAAAAATGTAAAGACAGATGCTCAAATGCCAAGACTTAGATCTGCACATCAGTGACCAGATGCAAGTGGCTAAGTTCAAAGTGCCTGTGTATTGGGCCATGTCTGAGTTGCCTTAGTATGTCAATGCTCCAGTGTTCTTTGCATCAAGTGAGGGGACATCAAGGAGATCAAAGGCTGTACCAGCACCATGGTCAGATGGTGAAGCTTGGGTTAGGTCTGTCTTCAAATATATTTTATACAATTAATGTTGGGGGATTTGATCAGCAAAGTGTTTAGTATACAATCAGCATCAGATATACTCACCTGATCCTTGGACCAACTTGGCCAAGAGGCATAGAATAACCATCACTTGATCCACAAATAACTGTTGTAAGTAAAGCAATCGTATGTTTACTGTATGTGCTACTTCAATCTTCTGCAGCCAACTTATGGAAGAATTGGTCACTCAATATCCAAATTCCACCAGACTTTTCAGGCATGCCATGGTCACTCTCTTGACCATCCTGCAGCAGTCTCCATCTTACGTCTTTTTCCCAACATCCTTCACAGCCTGGATTGAATGCACTCATATCTTGATTATTTGTTCAATTTTAGATCAGAAATGTGGAAACCAATCAATGTCTAGATAACATGGGCCGTAAAGAGAATGAAAAAGTCGGCATATTCAATTGCCATGGCATGGGAGGAAACCAGGTAAGCTTATACTCTAGTCTGTGACAACATTAGCTGCATTAAAATAAACATATTGATTTACTTTTAAGGAATATATAGCAGCACAAATTGGTGTTTTATTTATGTCTGCCAGGACTTGGAGACACTGTTACTTTGTTCATGGTTGAGTTTAATTTTGCTCAAGATAAACTGACCCATACGCAATCCCTCGGCACCTCCCGTTCTGACAGAGCCCTCTTTTCATTGCTGTAATGGAGCATGGATTCCGGGTGTTGCAGAGCATGTGAATGACGATTGGACGCTTAGACCTGAACACTGTCAATTGGGATTATGGGAAGGTGTAGTGGCATCATCACTACAGTAAGCTCAAAAAACCATCTGACACCAAATATACTCAAGGTTGGCTCATGGAGTGGAGCGGTGGAGAATAGTGCTCATAGGCCAGTATACCTTGCATGCAGGGTAAGGTACCAGGTACACCTCCTCATCCCCCTCTTCCCCAGCATCATATACTCACCTTTCCTTTTGGTTCTTCACCTTTCAGTTTAGCCACGATTGGTAAAGACAGGAAGCCTATTATAAGCTGTGAGTCCCTGTAGTCTGAGCAGAATTAAAGGGAGAATGTTGTGATAAAATATGGCAGTTGCAGCTGACTACATTTAATTTAAATGTCACGTGGCTACCTCAGTAGTGATTCTTATACTGGTTTCACCACTTAGACCTGTCAGATTTAGCTTCCAATGGTAGCGCATTAAGGACGCATCCACTCGCTGCAATCTTCATTCAAGGGCTTCCTTGCCCACTTTTATTAAATGAAAGTTCACAGAACAGAACAATTACCCTCACAGGGGTTCTTTAGCAACTCATGGCAGCACATGCCCATCCAGCCTCCTGGCTTTGCATTTGCAGCACCGCTGCTCCGGCCTCAGCCCACTGTCTGTTCCTCCAGACAGCCTCAGTCATGTGCTAACCTGCACACTGGGGGATTCTTCCCAATCCGCAGCACCCTGCTGCACTGGACTCCACTCTGACTCCTGGGTGGAGCCTTCCTGTCTCCCAGGTGGAGTCTTGAACCCTTCCCAACAACTTTAATTTAAAGGCTGTGCACACCTGTGCCATCAGCATGCACTGGCCACTCAGATTCTGGACACAGGAATGGAGATAACGCAGTGGCATTGCCATGCACTGCCACAGACCCCATTCACACTGAGCTTCATTAAAAAAAAGCACTTTTTCAGCGCTGATTTGAGCTGAGCGACTTTAAAAGACATAGAGCTACACATATTGTCGCGCTTCGTAGCGCTAATTTTGGTATGGACTTCATAGCTGCTACATTGGGCTGTATCCAATCAAAAGATTTGACATAATTCCTCTTCCTGTTTCCGGCTTATGTTCCTGCTTATATTGCTGTGCAAAAGTGACACTTCTGTAGTGTGACGTAGCGCTACAATGTCGCGCAAAATTGCTGGTAATGTGCGACATTGAGCTACACCATTGAAGTCTATTGGGCCAAATCGCACGAAATCTGCCGAAAAATAGGTCATGTTCAAGCGGCATGCTTGAGCTACAAGCTACAGGCGACATTGAGCTGTGAACAGCTCCATTGAAATGCATTGGAAGAGCTACATTGAGCTACACTGAGCTTCATGTTTGAGCGATTTGTGAGCGGAAAATAAGTTACAAATCGCTCAGTGTGAATGGGGTCTTAGGCTAGGTTGACACGGTTTTCGCATGTTTTCGATCGCGTGACTGTTCATTGAAAGCCGCACGATTGATGCACGGTTTACAATGCATGGAGATGACTATGGAACCCAAACCGCATGACAACTGCCCGAAAATAGCTCCTGCTCCCTTTCGTGTGACAGGTGATTACGTCCGTGTGAACCTAGCCTTAATAAGTATTTTTACCCAGGAGTCCTGATTTTACTGAATGTATACCTGATATGGCTCAGTGACCTCCTAGTTAGTAAGGTTAGGTTAAGGATGACACCCTTGGATCTCTTTAAAGTATATGTATACCTTTAATGAAAATCAAATCTACCCCCTTCTTCCATAGCCCCCTTGCAGGTCCATATTTACCTCCTCTTATGGCTGCCTCAAGTGATGTCTGTAGTCTGGCCAGTAAAAATATGGTGCCAGTCTGCTTGTGACTGCACACCATGTCTTCTGGACTTGAATGGGATGTTTTTCCTGCAATAAATGTATATCCCTTTCTAGTTCAATGGGAGGTTAAAGCTAAAAATGTACTTAAATAACAAGTCAGCATTGTGTTTTATTTCGTACCTCTTCCTACACCTGGATATCTCTCTTTCTTCCTTATGTTATCTGTCCCCTTGGCAAGTTTTTCACAAATAGAGCGTTTTTTATGACATGCTCCCTTTAGATGTGTAATGTATTCTCTTGCACCCACTGCACAATGTCATCTCACTGATATGTAATTATTATCGCCTCTCGTTTTGTTTTAATTAAAACAACTGAACCTTACAGCAAAACTGTAGGCAGATATTTAACACAGTTTTATGTTCATCAAAATTATTCATAAATGTATTTCTAAATAGTACTTTTGGGCTGTCTTTGGATAAAAGTGGGGACCTGTACTTATGAAGCTGTGCCCAAAAACAGCAGGTTGAGGACCAAGTACCAGTTATCATTAGGAGACAGGTTGACCTCATTAATGTGTTGTCTCTCCTTCACTATCCAATCACAATCGTGGACAGTCTTTGACCAAGCAGTGTTGCTGTAAGTGCAGTAGAGAAAAGTGAGGTCAGGTCCTGGCAGTCCTGTCTCACTGGGATGTCTGGAATAGAAAATTTGACACAAATCCATCCAGCACCTTCACCTTTAATACCAATAGGAGGGTGCACAGCCTACAGTGATACTGTGAAAATCCAAGGGAACAAATAGCCAGCACTTAAGGTCATAGACCTTGTAATTTAGTAAGGTCTACATTTTGATAAGAGCATTGTGCATAAACAAAACAAAAAAACAGCACTAAACACAACATTGTTTCAATGACACTGGGTGACAGACCTTGAGAAAGGAGGCCACAGTGTCTCCGAAGCGTGGGTGTTTTTACTTTTGTTTTGTTGTTGTTTTTTTCTGCACAATTTTGCAATTTTCCATTTGTTCCTTTTTGATTAGAAAACAGGCTAAACAAAATTACAAATGTTTTATTAGGTAAGACACATCACGCTAAAAAATGTAGCTGTGACCCTAATGGTATGCCTTGCAATGTGAGCATTCATATTTCTATTGTTACTGCTTCCCAAAAAAAAAGGAATTTTATTGTCAAAATAGAAAAAAGGGGCATTTCCGGGGCCAGAGCCTTAGACTGTCCTTCAAACACAAAGACAATCGGGAACTGTCACACTGCTACATTTACAGTACAGACCTGTATCATGCCAATCACATAAACAAATCTACTCTAGTCCCACTTTACAGAGCGGTAGAACTTTTCCATATTCCCTTTTTCTCCAGGCAGTATTCCTTCTAATCTGCAGCCCTGAATACCGTCTAACATTAATGCCATGACAGATAATAAAATCGGTGTGACATTTCTTTCATAATTAGGAGAGGAGAAGTATATAAGACTCTGGTGACGCGAGTAGAACTCAGAGAAGTAGCGCTGTCAAATTTCTTCATACGGGGGGTCTTGACAACATAATACTCAGCAGAACAAGAAAGGTCTGTTTAATCACATCAGCTTTGCCAGGCTGTGGTAGAGCTATCCTACCGCGGCTGATGTGCTTCTTTATTCTGGAGATCACACTCTTGCAGGTTTGTCTATGGAAATAAGGCATGCATTAGAAGTGGGTATTTGATGTGCGGGAAGATGAAAGGTTTAAACAAATGACTCTTCAGCTCCACAAAAGAAGAGGAGGCACTTGATATTTGACAGCTCCATTCATTATAATAAACTACAGTCTTGGACTATACAAAGCGTTCTGTATTTGATCACTGTCTGATGGGCAGGGGTTGGATGATCCTGCTGATACTTATAAAGGGCTCCAGATGAGGGGCGATATCCTCCTACGCTATTACACTGGTGCATCAAAAGCAAGTGGTAACATTGGCTATGACCAGTCCACCCAAAAGTGATTTTGAATAATATGTCAGCCCCTTGCTTCCTTTATGTCTTAAATACTCCAAAAGCTACATCTCCCTGCCATGATTTCTGACTGCTTGGGAGTTTTAAAGAATCCAGCAGAAAAAGTTGGAGCCCCTCATAATGGCCTAAGCAGAAGTGCAGAGCCAGGAGACATCAACAGAGTCCACAAGAGATACAGTAAATGAAACTATCAAGCAGATTAACTCTTCAGTATCTACCAAACATGACAAATCGGTCTTGGTTTGAATGATCATTTAAAGTGAACTAGTGATGAGAGAGATAACGGGGCTGTCATTGCATATTGGTTAGTGATGAAGGTAATGGTCATTATGTAATGAAGTAGAAATCAGGGTGACAGCCCATATCACCCGGATTCTGAGTTCATTATCTAATGAGTCACCGACGTGGACAAAAACAACCCATTTTAATTTTGGCAAGTCAGTTCAGTTAATCAGTGTCTACTTTGCCGTGCATTGCCCATATGAAAAAATAATAATTTGTTGCGGCTGGCAACGTTGCCTATGTTAGGAATGACCTATCCAGTATGGGAAACATGTTTTGAACACCCAGTTATCACTTACGTACATGCAAATGATCTAACTGTGATTAGATGTAAGTTTAAGTTTTGTAAATTCTATAGATTCCGACAAACACAGTCTTAGATTCTGATGCTGATGACTCAGTGATGGCCCTTAGCATAGGCAGTGGGGATAATAAGCTTATTCTGGTCCTACATGGTTTTAATGTGATATTTGCTCCTTGACCCAGCATGATGTGTATATTGATTCTCAGTCATTAGCAATAAGCAGATGATTTAATACATATCAGACACAAGCAGACATTAATAGACTCTCTGCTATTCATACTGAAAGTGGGTTAGAGCATGTCTGGCGTTTCTGCTGCTCCCTCGCTGTTGATAAATACAAATCCAAGCAGACCCACAACACCAGCAGCTCTCCGTCCTCTAAACACAGCCACTGCTATATATTGCTACATTAAAGGAACACTATTGTGAACATGCTGCATTCTGATAACTGTATCTGGTTAAGATTTGTAATGACAGTACTCAGTGTGTGGATTTCTTTTTATTTAATCTGCCTTTACTCATGTTTTTCTTTATATGCTGGCCAAGCTGTATAGCAAAAGTAATAGGGGCTGGGACAAACACTGCCAGGGGTGCTTGCAACAGTCGCTTTTCATTCCCATGGTTTAAATCTCTGTTTTAAAAAATAATGAAGCTGAATGAAAACCATTTGCCAAAAATGTTCTGGCTCTCCCATACCAGGCAAACCATCAACTTTCCTACTTCACCAGTCCATTCGCTCTAGGGAGTCATACAAGCAATCACTACTCATTCACTTCATCTCGGAGCATGTATTACATCCTTATGCCGCATACCAGAACCTCCAACAGTGACACAGTGGTTGTAAAAAATCAATGACATTAAATGCATGGAGGACCTTACATCCACCCTGAAGGGCACAGATGTACACAAGTTACACATACTCCAGAGTACATTGCATTTTCTATAATTCCTCCATCTAAAGTATCACCTTCAATGCCCCCTTGGGCCCTGTCATTTTTAGTGGATAGCTATGCTCTTTTGTGCACAACAGTCATTGAAACCTAGAGGCCCAATCCAAACTAAGCAGTGTCCTTATGCGTCAGTTACCTTGGGCAAAACCCTATGACTTATTTGTCTACCTAAATAGGTAAAAATTAAAAGACATGTAATGCTTTTGTTTTGGGACACCAAAAAGCCTGCTTGTTTTATTTAAGGCTGAAACAAAAAATCTAATAAAGAAAAACATTCTATCTATCTATCTATCTATCTATCTATCTATCTATCTATCTATCTATCTATCTATCTGTCACTCTATCTATCATTATCTCTCTCTCTCTCTCTCTCTCTCTCTCTCTCTTGATCTATCATTCTATCTTTGTATAATATTGTAATTGTATCTGATAATTACAGTATTGAATAGAGGCTCGCTGCATTCTCCAATGTCATCTATAGTCTGAAGTTGTTTTATAGTTTGTGAAATAGTGATCACATGACTGAGAACCACTCTGATTGGTTATCAGTTGTTAGTAAACATCAGAGAAGAAATTCTCATGAACAGATTGGAGTTCTGTCCACATGGGCAGCAACATGAGTGTTCTCTCTCTTCCTGTTTCGGAAATGTTTGTCATGACAGGGTTGCTTAAAGGGAAGCTTGTATTGAAGAAATATGGAGCCTGCTATTAGCAATCACTACTTCAACAAACATCAGCACTCTGGCTGTCATGACGCAAGGTGCTGTCAGTGGCATTGTCTGGAATTCCACCCAGCTCACTGATGCCACTGGTTGCCAGGAGCCCGGTGGGACTCAGGCCAGGGCATCCTGCTCAGCTCTAGGCAACTGATGATGTCAGTGAGCAGAGCGTGTCGCCAGAGAGTTGCAGGTTGCTAAGAGTCTATTAAAAAATGGCTTGGCCAGCTGATTTGAAAAATGTTCCGGAGGGCTTGGCAACGAAAGGGTTAAAGGGACAGTCCTGTGTATTCATTTGTAAATATAATTGTTTGCCTGCAGTTCAGCTTTGAAGAAAGGCTAAAACCTGAAATTGTGTAAAAATGCCAAGTACGGACACTACTGAGATATTTAAAAATTCATGTACTCTGTGCTGTGCCCTATCAGTCTGGTAGCTGCCGTCTTAGAGAGAAAGAAGCAACAAGACAACAGATGATATTTTCCTGCTGTGGAACTGGAAAATATTGCTCCCAATTATACAACCTTATCAAAGTTATGAAATCCTCTTATATATAAATCAGTTTGTGTTTATTGGATGCTCGGTGCCCCTTTAATTGTCTTTTTGTATCATGAGGCATTGCCATGATTTCTTATAACGAATATTTCTCATTTTCTCTGTAAAAGCATTTCAGAGTTGATTATCGAAGCTTTTTGAACCTCCACTGCTTTTTTTATCATTCTATTTTTAGAGCAGCAATAATATACCTATAGATTAGTGTTTATGTGTCTGGTGTTTCCATGGTAACCACAATGACTGCTGTAAGTGACACTCATTTATTATTATTTTTTTTACCTCCATGATACTATTAATGGCTCGGTCTGGGTTGCTCGGGTAACCTGTGCAGGCCCCCCCCGATGCCTTGCCAGTTGGAGGCCGGGAAAGCCATGCTGCCAAATGTCAATTTCAAAACTTACTACAGGAAAGTGTTTTTATATTTTTCATGCAAGACACGGAAATATTGATTTATTTCTCAACATGTACAAATATTGTCTCGTAGGTGTTTTCGTACACAGCCGATAAGGAAATTCGCACCGACGATTTATGTTTGGACGTGTCCAGGCTGAATGGTCCAATTATCATGCTTAAGTGCCATCACATGAGGGGCAACCAGCTATGGGAGTATGATGCTGAGGTAGGTGTGCTTGGAAAATCGTATGCTCAAAGTTGCTTTTATTAGAAGACTCCTGCTCAAACTTATTAAAAGAAAATGCCATATTTAAAGCAAAACTTCAGATTTCCAAAAACAAAAACAGGACAGATAATTGCAGTGTATGCAGCGAGGGGTTGAAATTAAAAGAATAACTTACTTCATAGCACTGGAGGTACAGGACATAAGGGCTGCTCCAACTACTTTCATTAAAATGTAGCGGCATAGTCCACTATAAATTGATTAATACACCAATATTGCAGACGAAAGAAATGTGCATTTATTGAAGAAGAACTTTGCCCACCAATGTAATGTCTCCCAAAACAGATACTTTCCAGGCATGCCAACTGTCAAGGTTGCCAGTGTGCTTATTTCAGCTTGAACTTTCAAGTCCTCAGATGTCTGATGCCATAGCTGATTACTTGCGCAGCACCAATGGCAACTACAATCCACATATAGGCAAGATGCTGCCTTCCTTGACTGTAAGGGGTAGGAGGTTGTAGTTTCACTTTAATGTCTTTTTTTGTATTGGAGCCGACAAAGCATTACAACCCTGATTAGTGGATCACAGTTGTGATGCTTAGGCTCCTGCAGATTCTTCCATTCAGCCTAGTGGTGGGCAACTCTGGCCTTCCACCTGTGCTTTAACTATAAGGGCAGGTTCACACCAGGTCTGGTCCGGAAAATGGTGTGAACCTGCCTGCAGTTCCAGTGCATTCCAGACCAGACAAAATGAGACATGCAGTATTTTTCTGGTCTGGTCTGGAACGGACTGCGCTGGTGTGAACAGAGGCCAGAAACAGCATAGGGATACATTAGCATGCATTTTGGGTCCGGAAACAATCTGGTTTGTTCTGGAGATGATCTGGATGTGGCGTGAATAGGCCCTAAATCCCATGTCTCAGGGAGTCATGCCTGTAACTGAATTTCTTGCAATGCCTCATGGGACTCATAGTTTCCCAACATCTTGAAGGCCAGAGTCATCCCTCCTTTAGCCCCATGTCTGTACCGAGGTATGGACCTTTGGTTTTGGAGAAAGTAGGAGTCCCTCTGCCAAGAGCTACGAGTCCTTCTGCCACAGTGGCAAATAGGTCTTCTAGTATTTCTAGTCACAGAATACGTAAATTCATAGGAGTCCCACTGCCGAAACCTATGAGTCCCTCTTCTGCAGTGGCAGATGGAACTTGTAGTCTTTCTATGCACAGAATCCTTCTATTCACAGGATTCACAGGAGCCCCCTTGGCAAGAACTACGAGTCCCTCTTCTGTAGTGGTAGATGGGACTTCCTGTGAATAGACCTGTGAATGAATGATGGGGCTGTGGGGGTGGAGAAACGCACAACCGCACCAATCTCAAATGAAGACAGAAGCCTGCGGGGGAGAAGCATTCCGCAATTCAGGTAAGTGTGGGGGGGTTGAGGGTGGGGTGCTGTGTATGCATATGAAGTGTAATTTTTGATGATGGGTCCACTTTAAATATGACTGCACAGCGGAGACATAATAATTGTAGGAGGTTAGAATGAAGCTCAGTGAATATTGTAACCTCCAAAGCAGAGAGAGGCTTGCCCTCAACATATTTCATATTGCAGATCTTACAAATGCATTTATATCAGAACACAGGATATTTTTAGGATATTAAATTACGGGCAATGTTACATGCAGTACTAAGATGTTTGCAATATTGGATTTCTCAGAATCTCCTAGAGGAATATGCCACATCCATTTTAATTGAAAGGTCTACAAAAGAATCAGCAGTGTTTTCAAGCATTTATTTTATTAATCTGTTCAGTAATGAATCAATGTTTAAAGAAGACATCCACTTTTAGCTTGGGTTTAACCCTTGTCACACAAGACAAGAGATAAAGCAGTTCAAATCAAACCAATGCACAGTCAGAATTCTTCAGAGTTCCTGTTTTAACAGGCACAGCAATGAGGGGAAAAGAACCCATGTGCTGCCAACCTAAATTCTAAATCTAAAGTGGAACTGAATTCTGGAAGCTGTGGCCAAAAAAGACAAAGAACTAGTCGCCTTTATTGCCCATGGTCTCTCTGTAGCTGATCTTTTACCATTACTGATTTACCATGCCTTGCTCTGCATTGTGTCCCAGTGCTAAGGCAGCCATCTTGGTAGAGGTAGGGCTTGGCTTCCTCATGTCAAAGCCTTCAGCAAGAAGCACAGTAGTGACACAACCACATCTGGAGACAACTAGCGATCAGTGTCAGCAATGCCTTAAAGTGACATGAAACCCTCCGATTTTTTAACATAAAACAATACTGTAAGGTGTGCCTTACTGTAATCCATGGTTGTTTCCCTTCTCTTTGCTGCACTTCCTTTTAAATCCTTCTCTCTTCTCATGCTGGGGGAGAACTTCCCTTTGCAGCTGAGTGCCTCTTCCTGTAGTGCTGGCTCAGGTTGTGAACCTTCACACAGACACCATGTGTCCATTTCAGAGACAAGGCAGTCTGCTGCAAAACAGAAGTTCTGCCCAGTATGATAAGAGAGAAGGATTTAAAAGGAAGAGCAGCAAAGAGAAGGGAAACAACCATGGATTACAGTAAGGCACACATTACAGTATTGGTTTATGTTAAAAAAATCGGAGGGTTTAATGTCACTTTAAATCTTACACTGCTGATAGTTTTTGCTTGATGACTAGTTATCTAATGACTGGCATAATATTTCAGAAGTGGCAGGCGAGGTTAACAAAAAAAGATCCCCAGAATGGGTAAAACAGAAGCAGGGAGATACATGTAGGTCCCCAGGTACAGCTTCCTCTCCAGCAAGCAGGATAGCAATGACATCACCAAATTTCACTCCATATCTCGTGGGAATAGCAATCACAGGCAGCAGTGCCATAGATGATCTCGCACTGCAGGTTTACAGCTTTGAAGCTGTAGATACATGAGTACCTAGGCACACTCGCATACCAGGAAGTGCACGGCTACTTTTACAGGAGGAATTCCATAAAAAGGTACATTTTCAGGGCATTACTTACATTGTAAGAACAGTGTCCTCTCTATTTCCTTCAATAAAGTTGATTTGAGGCATAACGGAGGAGCCATCTGTGGCCTTACAAGTTTGTGTTACTGCATACATGCACATGAGAGGAGTCGAAGCCCAGGGAAGTATTGGCACCCCCCAGCTGTAGCTGCGTGGCTGGATATTGGGGCAGTGGCATGATGCCATGCAATGATTATATATGCAACTTGGAAATCAGCTTTGTAAATACTGGAGGGATTTAAATAGGGGCGAGATGGCTCAAGCTGATGGCATACACACAGCATCTAAAATATTTGTTTGGGGAGGAGTAACACATTATTACTTTTGGGTAGAGACGTTCTTAAATAACACCAGTGGACTATGAAGAGCAACATAACACACATTCATTGCAACTGCTCTTCTTGATGTGAGTTGTGGTATTATAATATCAAAGCTTTTCGCAGTCTGCAAAGATCCATGTAACAGCGTAATCTCATATCTCGTCTTGTATCTTCCTTTTCTCCATGGTTTTGAAGATTAAAGCTAGCTTTAGCATGAGGTCATCTACTTCCCCTTATGGCATTTCAGATAGCATTTAATACAAGTACGGGTGTCCCATGGAAACAGAGCTGCACAGCTTGTGTCATATAAATAGGCGAGGAGTTACAGCTGATTTCATTCTGAGTGCCTGCTGCATATGATTGAGACAAGACGAGGGATATAATCATTCCGAGTCACTTTAATCACTACCCTGAGGTGCACATTTACATGAGTAGAAGATGAGAATGCCGACATACATGCACAAGGTACATTTTAATCTGCATAGATGTACAGTGCGATACAGAGCGGGGCCAGAGTGAGACCAGAATCAAGCCTGGCATACTAAGGGGCCTGCAACATATTTCTAATGTGGCCAACAGTTATGGAGCTAAGAGAACAATAATTATGCATTGGCAAGATCTCTTACTCTGTAGAGATGAGGGACACAAGGGCAGACAATTGATAGACTGCTTTCTAATTGCACAGATACTTATACTTTCATTAAAAAAATCCAGAACTGAGATTAAGCTTTCCCACGCTCACTTAGGCTCCCCCTCCACACTTATCTCCAGTCTAGTGGCAAATTGGAATTATGGCAGTAGAACAGCTCCAATTTGAAGGTGAGTATTGCAACAAAACCTGTTTTTCTTTAAATTGTAATAATGCTGGTCTCTTGAATTAAAAGAAAAAACTGGAGCTTCACTTTAAATCTCCATCATTGGTAGTGCCTACCTCTTGTACCCTTCTCCTTTGTAGCATTATATTTACTACTGAAATGCCATGTGCTTCAGTAGTAGGGGCTGAGTGAGACCACAGAAGCTCAGTGTGTATTGTAGGGTGATACACGTCACTTTATCAACAGCTGGTAGGTAAAACGCCTTACAGTATTTCAACAGTTCTGAAACTAACACACAGGCCCACTATAGCAGCATTTCTCTTTCCTGCAGCTTGGCAATGCTGGAGGAGATGTACTGTGTGTACAGTATATTTCACTGCAACCAAGATGGCTGGGGTACACTGAAGACTTCTGTCTTGACTGGACAAGCCCCTTGCACCATTGTTCTATATACCCTGTTGAATGTTCTGCCATGTAGGTCCTCTGTCCCTGTCTCCCAATTGTGCTCCTCATAGGCGTACACACGGGGTGTGCCTGGGCACACCTTTATCACCCCAAGCACAGCAACACAGACAGTGGAGATATCACAAAATCTCTCTGTGACCGGCTCAGTGATACAGAGTGCAGCAGCACTTGCCACTTACATTACTTACATAACAGCCACAGTCCGCGGTGCTTAGGAAGATGTGAGGGAGCATGGCTGTGGCTTCCTATCCAATCAGGAAGCCAGATGGGTGGTCACATGACCACCGGTCAGGCTCCCTGCTTCATTATTGCACCCTTGCTGGAAGAGGTAAGAGGTAAGGGACAGTTGAAGGATGCCTCAGGTGTGTGTATGCATGTATTATATATA